AGAATCTACCTGACACTAATAAGTCAATGACAAAATGACTTAAGATCTTGTTTAAGATCAGAGCTCCAGATCTTTCACTTTATCATCTTTCACCTTAATGTCTTTCACTTTATCTCATGAAATCATAAAAATTATTCTGATGTTTAGTCTTTCCTCAACTCTTTAAATATTCAAGATCCAGCTGGAATTAAAAACATTAAAACACTGCAGCAAAGGTTTTATTTCTAATGTGTCCAGCACCCCCCAGGATATAAGAAGATCTATTCCCAGCAGTTACTTGGCACATTTCACTGCAGACTCAGAAGGACTGGACTGTCTAAACAACATCAACATATTTTAAGTTTTTTAAACAAATCTGCAAGTATGTAATCATCAGACATCTTCACTAAAATAAAAAATGTATATCTATGCTGCTACCTGTGCTTGAGACAGCAAAGGATGTAGCACCTAAACCATGCAGTAAATGATTTTGTAGCATTTCTTATTACCAGTAATTTTACAGCATCTCTGTTTATTGCATAGATAATGGGCAGATGTTTGTTGTCATTAAACTGCTCTTAGCAAACATAATCATAAAGGTATTTGGCAGATAATAAAACAGAATGTGTATGCCTATGCTCAACATCATCATTGCCAACAGCAGGTATATTGCTGTTCACAAACCGTATGTTGCAAAACACAGAGCAAGCCTGGTTTTCTGAGAAGTTAATAACCCATCTGTGAGCAAACCAAAAGAGGAAGGGACACTGGTTCCAGCCTTCAGAGAACAGGAAAAGGGTATCCGTGTCTGCTGCAATGAGTACTGGGTGAAGATCAGAAAAGGTCAGGAACATGACTTTTCCGTCTCACCTGAAGAGGACTAATGGAATGTCCAGTTCTGAGCAATTAATTCCAAAGGCTTAAAATCTAAATTTCAGTGCTTTTTTTTTTTTTTTTTTTTTCAGTTTCAAATATCTAGCAACCTCACACTAACCTGAATTTGCTAATCTTATTACTATACACCTCTTAATAAAAGAATGGCCAACCAATACAATTAACTAGGAAAAAGCATTAAAAAAAAGAGTGATCAACAACATCTAATTTTAACTGGCTAAAAATGATCTCATGTTCAGTAGCATTTTGCCTTTGCCCTTCTTCTTGGGCTTTTGGCCTCCACTGTTTCACAATGTTTAGGTAGAAGGAAAACATGCAGAGAGCTTTCAGGAGCAGAACAGATCCATAGACACTTTGGGGTTCATGGCATTTTTACTGCAGCTACAGGAAACAACTAACGTGAATACAACACACACTGCTCCTCCTGCTTTGTTTAATGCCAGGGTTTTGGGGGCTTTTTTGAGAAAATTCTGTGGGTTGTGAGGAGGAATCTTTTTCTCACACCAAAGAAGTACGTCATGCTCCATTAGCCAGACCTCAACTTCTGCCCTTAACACTTTCATTTAGTGCAATTAACAGGACTGCTGTGACCTGATGCTCTGGCTTATGTCAAATACTAACAAATTAGAAACCAAAAAGCACAGAAGATATTAAGTACCTAAAAGGCACTGAAGAACCTTCACAGTAGCTGAATCACTTCTCTCCCTCCCACCCTCCTGTCTGTCTGCATCATCTCTTCAGCCCTTTTTCTGGACTGACTAGCAAGCCATCCAAATTTCTGTTGGGTTCTGTATGAGCAGATATTTCACCAACAATGGAAGGAAATGTGCTATTCATTACCCTTGAGAATTCTTTTTGTCATTTCTCACAAAGTTTGTCCTACAGTAGACTACAAGGGACTCAGCATCACTTAGAGGAGGCACTGTGTCTTCTCTGTCTTCCTCTTTTCTATCTTCTTTGCTTTATGTCTGCCCACCCCAAGACATCCTCACTTTTGTCAGTTTGGTAGTCTTGGCAGTTTGGCACTGTCAGCTCCTCCCTAGCACAGCCCTGACAAAGCAGTACTGAATTATCTGACTAGAATCTCCACATAACCAAAGAAAGGAGATAGGCAAATCAACAAAAGGATGCAAGCAAATCACATAATTGCTTTGGATTTCCCCTGAGAAGACACTAACTCCCTCACTTGGCTTCACAAGGAGCTTAGATGTTTAACACAAGTCCTCGACGCCAAGCCTCTATGTTTGGTGTTTTTTTTCGTTTGATGTTATAGTGCTTACCAAAGTCATCTAAAGAAAGAGATCAGAATATCAGTTGAATTAAATGAATGCCACTTGCAAAACCAGCAGAGACATCCCGTGCCTTCTTTTCCACCCCTGAGTACAGCCACACCACTCTTCCCTTCCAGTAGTTATTGTGGGATCTCTCACATTTCAGAAACTTGACTGATGGTCAAATACAGCAAATACAGCTAATACAGTATTTGCATTCTCTTAACACAAAGTATGTAAACCTCTTTTCTAACTAGGAGACAAACAATTTCATTTCACAGTCCTTTTTAGATGTATAATAGTCTTCCATAAAGCAACATGAAAAATGTACAAGAAATATAGCAATATCGACATAACTCTATATCTGGAAAGCAGGAGATACAGATTACCATTACCAACAAATGAATATCTGCTTTTCTCTCTGGAGTTGCTACATATGTTTTTTGTATTTTTATTACCCTAACTAAATTCTAAATGTGTGCTTTGCTTATTCAAAATAAATAATTCTCCTGATAAATAACAGACACATGAGATCCTTTATTCTAGGATTCCCTGCCCCTTAACCTAAATCTTGGGCTTTCCTTTCTTCGGTCTGGGGGAATCAAAGGACTGTAGCACTTCCCAGACACCAGCAGAGACTAGAAAAGTATGTCAGTAAGTTTGCTTTATTAAAGAAGCTAATGTGCTCCTTCACTCCTACCCTTACACACCAGCCTTGCTCCTGTAGTATTATGTCAGCTCTCTAGTCACAGTGCAAAGTGCCATTTTGGCACAGCAGCATTTCCCACTGTGATTCCCTTCCCAGACTTCACATCAACTTTTCACATTCCAGCAGTATTTATGTCACAGGCCAGCTGAAATTGTGACTTGCAGTAATCCTTGGGTGTCAGACCATGAGAATGAAAATTATCTTTGCTAGCCTGCAATTCTTCTGTTCATCTGTGTTGTTCTGCACAGAGGCAAAATCACTGTGCACCAAAACAATTTGCTCATGTCAAGTACTTTGATCACAGCAATATGAAGCTGTTATGTAACACCACAATAAACACTCTAGAATCAAAAACATTCCAATTGCAGAACTTTTTTCATGTATACAGTCTCCAAATATTCACAAGCTGCTTCCTGTATTGTCAAGGAACCTCACATATGAAAACCATGTTTTGCTTGACATTGGGCCTAAATCATGAAGATGGTTTTTAGTTACAATAAAAATTAGTTTCTCAAGATTAGGGCTTCTGGCATACATCACAGATTGTCCTGAACTCTATCATCATTTTTTTTATAACCTTAAATAATGTTTAACACATATTTTTTAAGACCTCAAGATTCTACATTGGTAATTACGCAGTCACACACATCTTTCTTATTTTCTTACTCATACTGATGCTGGCCAGAGCATGGCCAAGATCTCAAGCCAGACTCGAGATTCACTTCTAGATTTTGATGGTTTCATGCCTTTAACCTCCTGATTTCACTGATCACAAAAGGAACAAAAAGCGAAACTACAAACATTTAAAGTACATAAGATGAATTCTGCTCTTTATGTTATTGGTTACCTTTGCATTCTGTTCTGATAGCCAAGTTCATGAGATGGACATGAGACAGAGTCCAGAAAGACCTGAATCACAGAGCTGGTTCCTCCTGATACCAAGTACAGACCAACAGCAAGCAAAACTACAGTTTTGAGGGGAAATAATGTAGATGGTAGTGCTTCTTTTTATGCCTCTGTAGGGCATAGTTACACAACAACTGGCCAAAACAACTCACAACACTGCCGTTGATAAAACCTCTGATGTTTTCCAGAATCATCTAATCTATAGCCTATAAGAGAGTACTGCTGAGCTGACATTGGCATAGCCAACATACATGAAATTTATGACAATACATTTTCACCTATGTCCTCAGCATGGATTGCAATCTTGATGCTTCAACTGTTTTAAGGACCACTGGCAATTAACTGCTATTGTTGATTAGGGCAACAAACCACATAGTTACTTCATTTCAAGGGCATCACCAGCACAATAAGAACAGCAGCAATTAATTGAATCGCTTGCTATTTCAGAAACATATAGCTCAGATATCTTACATTTCTGAATTCATTTCCATGTGGCCTAGAACATATAAGTAAGCCTGCCTGTACCTGCAATACTTGTCTCATTTCTCCAATCCAAAGTCTTTCAATCACTAGTCAAAGAGTAACAGTAAGGGGCAGAGATTCATCCACTCACTCCTTCATTAGATCTGTCCTAATCCCACATGTAAAAAAGAGGAAGACTAGATAAAACTTTGTCATGGAGTTATCCCTAAATCCTTGTCTGTGGGAATGTTGCCTCTCCCCTCCCCATCCGAGAACAAAGCACCCAGATACAGTGGTCCACAGAACCGGAGCATTGACTCTTTACATCAGTTCCAACTGATTTACATGATGTTATGATGTGGAATACTGACAAAAAAAAAAAAAAATCACAAAACCACGACAAACTGGGATATGTCATCTATGCCACGCAATAAAAATCACAACGATCTCACTTTACACTTGATATGTTTTCCAGTAATTTGCCTAAGATTTCTCACGCATGGCAGCATTTTCTGTCTTAGAAGACAAATTGTATTCGAAGTGACCCCAGAGCCCAAAGAAATGGACTTCAGATTTAGGGAGTAAAGTAGCACATGAAGGTAAGTTCATGAAATGCAAGAGAAGAAAACTGGAAGGAAACAGAGATGAGAGCTTTCCTAGTGTCGGGACTGGAACTCTGCACTGGAAAGATCAACATGGGCAAAAGTCTCATGGAAATACTCAATTTTGTTCTAAAACATCTTCACACCTTCAACTCTGCACAACTGAGGTCAACTTACCTCGCTCGCATGTTCTCCCCCAATAGCCAGTGCCAGTGCAGTCACAAATGAAGCGGTTCCAGCCATCCTTGCAGACTGCATTATTCTTACATGGGTAGCTGTCACATTGCTTGGTACTCAGGCGGGAGCAGGAGGACTTGACTCCTGCTGCATTCTGTGCCTCTGCCAGCTGCCGGATGTTCTTGCTTCGCCCGTCGATGAACAAATCTCGGATACAGCCAACGTAGCCATAATTCAGCATTGCTGTCCAGAGCTCAGTGGGAAGGATGAGTCCTGCCCGGTTCTCTGGCAGCCCACCCAGGTACATGTCACCCTCCAGATCTAGGATCTCACTCTCTCCACTAGCAGTGAATGGGGTGCGTCTGCTGTTCACTGATATAGTACCTAAAAGAGGAGGATAAGGAAACACCAATCAATGTTTTCACTTATAGCCTCAGTCACTTACAGTCTAGATAATTTCTTGCAGTAATACAGTACAAAAAACTAAATATTCTCCCCTACATGAATACACTCCTAACAGAGATGATGACTCCCACCCAGTTTCTTCTCTTGAATCACAGGGCATAAGAGTTTCCATAAGTGTGTGTCACATTGTGATACAAGGTCACTAGAATAGCAATACAGAATCTAAACAGTAAGGTAAAAACTGAGTATTATTGAATAGTATTCATCCAGCAAAGCAAAGACTTACTGAGGAAATACAGGATTTTTATGGTATCACGAACAGAGAAGAAAAATTATAAGAGTATTCATTCACGCGACATAGCTCTTAGAGAAAACATTTCACTGGTACCTTCAAAGCTGGAAATGGATGATGGGACAAAATAGACTCTTAGCAAGGCAGTCGATGACATCAAATTGAGGAGGATGGCTAATGCACTGGAGGAAGGACAGAACTACTAGCTAGAAAACCTTTAAAAGCCAGAGAAAAGGACTGATAGAAATGTTTGATGTACAACAATAAACAGAAAATCTTGTACCTGGAGCAGAATAATTTCACACATAATTACAGGCTACAGCCCAACTGAGTAAGGAGCAAAAAGAACCTGAGGATATGTCAGACAACAACTTGAACTTGAGCCAGTAGCAGACACTTGCAACATCAAGAGACACTGATCACAAGTTGCAATCCTCATGCTTGTACTCCAAACTTAGAAAGCCCATAAACAAATTTTATACTTAATTAACTAAATAATGTTTTTTTTGTTGTTGTTATTTTTGTATAAAACCTTGAACTTTAGTCTCACTTGTACATTGCCAAATACAAATACTGTTTATCCATCCTTCCCAGTTCCAGTGGAATATGTTTAAGAAGACAGAAGCAGTGATTCTGGTATCATCCCCATCAGCTTAAAACAGGTGCAGCTTCATTAGGTCAATGTAATTTGCTTTGATGAAAACTGAAGTTTGAACCTTTTATTTCAAATCACTTTGAAATAAGGTCCTTAAGCTTAATTTCACAAAATTTCAATTTTTTATTGAAAGAAGAGTATGTTGATTTCTTGTTTTCTCATTTTTCATCGCATCTTTCCAGTCAAGCAAGTATTTTTTGATAATCAGGTTTTCCAAAGACAACTATGGTGAAGTCCATCTCCAAAGCACTCAGCTTTTCATTTCCATATCCTGACATTTCATTCACTTTTTGATAAACTCATTCAGTCAGGAAAGGCCCTCATTTTTTTTTCCAGAGTCCTTATAATCCAGTTCCTTTTTCCTGGACATAACACATCCTACTTTACTTAGGTAGAACTTGCAAGAATAAGAGTACCCTTACTGCCCAGAAAATCAACTGCATCCTGAGCTACATTGAGTGTGGTCAGCAGTTCGAGGGAGGTGATCCTGCCTCACTAACTGTGTCTTGGTGAGATCTTCCCTTGGAGTACTGTATCTAGATGTGGAGTCTTCAGTACAGAGACACAGATCTGTTGGAGCATGTCCAGAGAAGACCAACAGAAATTTTTCAAGGGATGGAATGCCTCCCCTACTAGCTGAAAGAGCTGGGGCTGTCCAGCCTGGAAAAGAGATGACTCTGGGAAGTCCTGAGAGTGGTTTGTCAAGTGTCTCAAAAGAAGCCTATGAGAAAGAAGGGGACAGACTCTTCAGCAGTGTTTATTGTGATAGGACAAGGGGAATGGTTTCAAACTAAAAACTAAAAGAGAGGAGATTCATGCCGGATATAAGGAGAAAAATTTGATGATAAGAGTAGTGAAGCACTGGTACAGGTTGCCCAGAGTTATGGTGGATGTCCTGTCCCTGGAGATTGTCAAGGTCAGGCTGGATGGGGCTCTGATCTAGCTGTAGATCTCCCTTTTCATCACAGAGGAAGTGGACCAGATGACTTTTAGAGGTCCCTTTAAACTCAAATGATTCTATGATTCTACAAAATTCGAACTCTATGGAATTAAATATTTTGTACCTTGAAGGTCATCAAACACTGGAAACAGGATCCTCAGAGAGGTGTTCGAATCATCAGCCATGAAGACATTCAAAACACAAATGGGCATAGCCCTGAAGGACGCACATATTTCAGCAGTTTGGACTAGAAATCTCCAGAAGTTTGTTCCAAAGTAAATCATTCTATGGTTTTACAAAGACAGTTAAGTATTTTAACTTCAATTTTACAAATGGGAAATTTGAAGTAGAGGAAGATAAAGTTGCCTCTGAAGAACACTTACTATTAAAACTGTAATGGCTTCTGTATTTTGCAAGCAAAGATGCTGGCATACCTAGACTGAGGCCATAAAATAATCAGAACATACAATATAGAAACGCAATCAGAACACTTGAAACAGTTGCAGAGAAGCAAAGTGACTTTTTTAAGGTCAGACATCTGAAAAAAAGCAGGAAACTCAACACAGGCCTCTCACATCCCAATGAAGAGCATTCAGCAGCTTTTGTGATAAGGACATCTGCCCACCAGACACTCAGCAAAAAATTAGCAATTCACTCATGCTAGCAATAAATCATCACATTCAATTGCCTTGTCATTAAAGCAGTCTGTCCCCAGAGAGGACTATCCAGGCTTTAAGATTAATTCTACATCATTGCATTTTTATCATACACACCTAGAATAAGGTGGGAGAGTTTAGTTAATAGATCAGCTCCAGTTTTGTGTCTCTGTGAGAAAGTGCAGATATGTATTAATGCTTCTTTTTTTCCAAATTTAATGGGTGTTGTCTTGGAGAACAGCACATACAACAAAGAGACAAGGTATTTCATATGTGTGAAACAGGAATAATGTAAAAGGCAGCAGAGTGTCAGAAGCAATAGAGGCATTACAAATTAAAGGCTGACAGAGAACCAGAGTTATTTGATGAATCATTTTGTAAAAGCTAGCTGCAGCAGTGCAGACATTTTCTCTTTTACACTGTAAGAAAAGAGAAGATGTGTCAATACACCTATAATTGTGAAGGAAGTTTGTCACAGAGCCACAGGATCACAGCTACCTTTCCAATGTCTCCACTGCCACTCCTCAAAAGCAGCATACAGAGCACATGCTATCCAAAGGATTGGAATACAACACTGGAGAGTTGATCTCTACACAGCTGCTACTATAGAGAAAGCAAATAACACTTGGAGAAACCAGAAAGGTAAAGAGACCATCTAAAAGAGAAGAAATACTGAAGAATACTGGAGAATTGTAAAACCTGGAGAAAGAGAACAAGACTGTAAAAGAAAATAACCTAAGCATCAGCCTAATCTTTCTGCCAGTGATTTGTACCTTGCAACTATTTCTGTAAGGAAGTGATACTAGCTCCACTGTGCAGGTCTTTTCAGTTTAAGCTACTGAGGTGGAAAAAATTTGAATTGATCCTAGGAAAGAGGAGCTAGATAGGCTAACATCATTTGTTTTCCTTCCCTCGAATCCCACGTTTGTGACTGAGTTGAAGTCGACGAAACCCCAACTTGGGAAATCAAAAGCATCTATGTACCTCCTTTCAAGGCCATTAGAGATTTCATGCAGGGCTAAAGAGCAAACAAACTAGCACCCCAGCTACTGGTCTGAGCTGGTATGTAAAGCACTGTGCTGATGAAACGGTAGAGAGAAGCTTCGAGTAAGGTTTTTAGTGTCTTAGTGGATGGAATACCATTTGTTTTAAAGTAGCCAATGACCAACCAAAAACGTTGTCTCATGTAATATGCTCAGTGTTCCCCTACTGGAAACTGTGACAGATTTTGTAGACACTCTGTAGGAGCATTCCCCAGAGACTGAAAGGTTACAGGACAGCGTCTGTGTCCAAGCTGACAGCTTCTGTCAGAGTGCAGAGAAAAACAGCTTTTGTTCCTCTGGCAGGTAGCACAGACTAAAGTGTACACAAAGCCTAAGGGGACAGAGATGCCAGAGGTTATTTGAATAAGAGTGCTGTGCTTTCCCAGCATTTGCACTCCTGCTTTAGTACTGTTCAGCAGTGAATATCTGGATTTTAGGCTATTTTACTAAGCCCAGCAGAGCCTGAAGTTTTGGACTTTTCTGAAACGGAAAGAGGTAAAGGAGATGACATATATTAAAGGGCTGGCTGCCTTAGAAATAAGAATCCCAACATTTAGAGGACTAGTTCATTAAACCCAAACAGCTATTTCAGTTGAATGTTAAGTTCATTATTACAGTTCAGTTTCTACAAAATAGAAATATGCATTTAAAAATAAAACAAAAAAAAAATTAAAAATCTCTAAGGTGTAGCAATTCTCTGTTCTGCACACAGGGAGAAACGCCAAGGACTAACAAAAAGGGATCATGAACACCCTTCTTACATCTACCAGAACACCACAAAATAAGCATGGTTGACGCTTCCTAGAGGTATGCCATGGAAAAGTCAGTGTCGGTATACTGGATATCTGGAAGACACAAAATCAGTCACTAAGGATCATTATCCCAGAACTAGCTGTTAGCAGAAAAAGCAATTAAAAACAAAAAAGAGAGAGAGAGAGAGGAAAGAATGCGCAAATATGCTCACTTTGGTGAGCAAAGTGCTTTCAATTCAGAATCCGTTATCTCCGATCAGTGTCCAGGCCATCACAAACCTTTCTGTCAGACAACAAACAAGCTAGTCCCATGATCTCACCCACAAAGTAGCAATGCCATCTATCACAGCCTCGTAGACAAATGAACATGGGTCCCTCTTGTGGGATTTTACAAAATTTTTTAGCAGAGTTTAGTGTCATTTCTCTTCCTCCTGCAGCTGCCTCTCCAGGGACCAGACAGTCCCCAAGCGAGTAAAGAAAACTAAAGGCAGTACTGAACGCTAGTAATTGAGTTTATTCTTGGAAGTTAATTAAATTTTAGCTATTCTAAAGAAATCAAAGCTCAACTTATTTATTTATTTAAGGCTTCTTTTATAAAATGTTCCTATCGATGTCTTTAGGAGATAGCAATATACAACCACATATATTAAGTCCCAGTACAGTCTGATGATGTGAAATACAGAAAAACTCCTTACATCATCAAAGGAAATAAGTGGCTTCAGGCAAAGACCTGTTCAAACAGCTAGGCTATGAAGTGGCTGAAATTCAGCTCTTTTGAAAATTCTTTTGAAAAATCCCACCAGCCCAGAAGGAATTCTTACACAATTGTTCACATATTCTTAAGATGAAGTTACATAATTTGTTTCCTTACACAATCACCGTTAGCATGCTAACATTTACACAGCATTAGAAACAAACAGAATTCCTCTTTGTAACTTCATGGTAAATATATTAATTAAAATAAACTAAAAGACATTTTTGAAAATAAGAAGCTATGAGGGAAAAAAAAAAAAAAAAAAAATCCACTGAATGCTGATCTAGATATTTAGACTAGGATTTCTACAGACTTGGCATACTGGCTGCAAGTGCAAAAGAAACCTAACTGAAAACTCCAAGATGCTAAGTGAAACAGAACTGTATGAAAATGTTAATTTGTCATCATGATTTTTTCAATGATTGTGCACATTAATTCTATTTTCCTTGTGACAAAATCTAAACCCTCTGTTTTTTAAGGACACAAGATTCAGTGAAAGACACAGATCACAACAGGAAGTTCTCATTTGGTTTCAGTTGCTTTTTAAAAGAAAGCCAAAGTAAATCACTGAGAATTTCTCAAAACAAGGATGAAATAATAACAATTCAGAAGGTTCTTAAACCTTACCACGGCCTACAAAGAAGTCACCATTACAATTACGTACAAAATTGTAAAGATAGGTCCAGAGTATCAGAAGATTTAGAATAAAGGTTAATAGCCTCCCTCTATGACGCTCTATCTGAAGTTCACATTAGACATCTAACGAAAATCTGTCCATTCACATCTTTGTTTTGCTGGACAAATGTCATCAGAGTAAGACTAGGTTTTTGTAAGAAGGTGATTAAAAACTAGTAGGTCTAGAACTGAAAGGTGAATCTACTATAGAAAAAGTACCACTTTACCTGATCTTCCATCTCGCTGAATATCCACATGATACCATTCTCCATCATTGGCTTTCTTCTGTGTGGCTTTGACTTTAATGGTCCCAGATCCCATGTCCAGCAACAAGTAGAGGTTCCCATCTAGAAGTTCAACTGCAAAGAAGTCTACCTTCGTGTTTTTCTGGCTCCTGGCATCTTTCCTCTCCTGAGGCTTGCCATGGGTGAAAAGTATTAGCCCATTGGGTTCGGTGGTTCGGAAATCAAATGATATGGAGCCCATCCTTTTGGTGTTCCATTTGGGCAAACTAATATATGCCTCAGGTGTCTCAAAGCTGATGGGGTCCAGTGTGGCCACATTCTCACATACAAATTTCACTTCTCCATAGATTTTCATCTTAGTATCACCAATCCGTGCCAAGCGAGACAGCTCCAGACGAATGTCATTATTCTTATAAACAACCTGCCAGACACAAAGAAAAACATCATACATCAATCCTGCATACTGTACAAATACTCCAATTACCTTCATCCGTGGGAGATAAACTTCTCCCAAAAGGCAGGGGGGAGCTGAAGGGAGACCACGCAAGAATGTGACATGATGACAGAAGCAGAGAACAGAACCAGGAAGGTGTACAGAAATGACAGCAATAGGTATTCTGTGATGACTATAGATCAGATAATCTGGCAGAAGAGAAGAACACTTGCTGAAGGACGCAGAGAACAATTAACTCGATCACAGGCTCATTCAGCTGTAAAAGCTTTTGTATATAAAATGCAGTGTATGTCTGGCATCATGCTGTTATATTTGCATAAAGTCCATACAAAATACATAACCAAGTTTAACCTCTATGTCCATCTCTGCTAACCACAGCAGGGAACTTTGTGCCACCACTGTCATTTTTTTATTATTCTTATAAACCTACTTTACCATTAGAAGAGAGATGTAAAAAAAAAAAAGTAACCAAGTTCCTGTGAACTATTAGTGATTGTCCTGTGGTTCCTAGAGAGAGAGAGAGAGAGAGAGAGAGAGAAGGAAGGAGAGAGGGAGAGAGAAATTTATCTTACCAAGAAATCTTAAAACACAACAGGCACAAACCTACAATAGGTATAAATGAATAACACACAAAAATCTCTATGTACGGAGTGCTTGGACTAAAACACAGTCTGAGGTGATGACCAGAGCTCTGGACTCTGCATAGCGCTACATGAATGGAAAATATGTGAGAGGAGAGTCCCAAATAGCCAAATACTACTGAGCATGCCTAGCTCAGGTGAAAGTCCCAACTTTCTCTTTCTCGCAGGTACAGAATTAAACTACATGTGAAAGAGCACGTCCCTCTGCTCCATGCCATCCTCTCAGAGTCAGGGACTGGAGAAGGCACAGAGCTATATAATATTCATTAATAGATCTTCCTTTCAACAGCCTTCCATGCTTCCTGGATGCTGGATGAGCACATATAGCAAGCAGAAGCATTTCTGCAATCACTACTGAAAACTGAAAATCACTACTTTCTGCATCACTACTGAAAACTCTGATTTCTTGTAAGGAGCTATTATAAGGAGGTATAAAGTACTTTCTACCTATTACGTACGGCATCACACACATAAACACAGATTTGATTTCTTCTGCTTTCAAAATGCTAACAGAATGAGTTGTTAGCAATTTACTAAGAAAAGAGAAGGGAAAAGACGTGTATTTTTAATTCTAAAAATATCATATGGACAGGCTTAAAAACATACAGATGTAACATTTGGACGTGCATCTGTAATACTCAGCCTGAAGGCCCAAGGGGAGTTTCTGACCAAACAGATAATTCTTCACTGATGTACTCTAGGCTGTAAACCCAGCAGTAGATTGAGGATAAGTAAATCAGAAAAGAAATTTTCTGGAATCAGACAGACATATATAATCCTACCAGCAACTAACAGAAATAAGCTATGGAATATCACAGTACAGGAAAGGCAGATAAAAAAAATCAGCAAAAAATATTAAAAGGCATGTGATAGAGAGATGGGGAACAAGATCCTAAAGATGACCTTAGGATAAAAAAGAAATGAAATCGCAATTCAACAAAGTTGTAGCAAGTGAAGAACTTCCGTATTTTGCTAAGAACTAACAGAGAATTTCGCCAGTGCAGCCAGCACAGCATCTGTTCTCCCTGTTCCAAAGGCAAAATGTCCTACATCAGAGTGAAAGGAGAATCCAAATGTTAGTTCCCATGCGGAGTCATGTCACAATATTGTAGTTCCTCCCAGCAGAGGACAGTATTGACCTGCAATAGCTCCAGTTATTTTGCTCTAGTTTCCTAGGAGAGCACTCTGCCCTTCCAGAGACTTTGAAAACATCAAGTCTGTTATAATCCACAACACGAATAAAATATATTTTCAATTTGTGGAACTGTAGTAGTTTCATTCCATGGATTAACCAGGTCAAATACACTGGCTAGACAGACCACACACCTCCTTCCAGCAGCTCAGTAGGGAGGTGCATTGCAGCACTTCTCTCCCTCTGGCAGACAAACAAGTACCATGAGCCAGACAGCAGAGACAAGCAACAGCTACACCAGCATCCAGAAAAGACTTGTGAATCATGTTAGGTGTACTACTCCCTGTAGCTCTGGGTTTCTACCTGGACTGGCAAGGGCTTCTGCACATACTTTTTGTTGGGGCCACGTCTGGTGCTTTCCACAAACACTAGCTCAGGGCAGTGCACACAGGCTGGTCTCTGCATCTCAAGGAAATGGTGGAATTGAGGGTACAAAGGAAAATGAATGGAGCAATTAAAAGCATGGAAGAGCTTTCTATGAGGACAGGCCAGAAAAAAAAAATAAAACGCCACAGCTCTCCCATTTAGACTGAGAAGGAATGTAATCAAAACTTATAGAAAATAGTGGAGAAAGTGAACATAGAACAGCTCTACAGCAATAACACAACTAGAAGTATTTTCAGAAATGCAAGTTTAAGTAGATTTTTACTTATTTACAATGAGAACTTTTGGAACATGCTACTACTACAAGAAGTCATGGAAATAGAGAGCAGCAGCAGATTCAGAAAAAGAAACAAGAGAAAGCATGGAAGGAAGTTTTACAAACTGTTGTAAAGGAAAAGAGAGGGAAAGACCTTCTAACTACTCGTAATCAGATGACTGTATGCTGTGGGAATGTAAGAAAAATGTAATGCTGATAACTATGCTCATGTCACAGTTTCACATGTGGCAGAGGGGGAGAAGAAGGAGGAGAAGGGCCTCCCTGGCCCTTCATCCTCCCATCCCCTTTTCAGGGAGAAGAAAAACAAAAATGGCTCAGTTAAGATAAGGAGAGAGAATGAGTTTAGTACAAATGTTAAAAGCATGCAACAGCCTGCCACATGATGTCATGATATGGAATACTGATAAAACCAGGGCAGCCATGTGCTCACTCTTAGTAGCACTTACAACTGCTTCTATTGGAGGCAGAATACTGAATGAATGGGCTGATGGTTCTTCAGTTCTAATAGGGCTTTTCCTGTATTCTTAATAAATGTGTACAGTCTACCCTTTGCTTCACTGCAAGGATGGTCTGGAAAAGTGAATAATTGGTAGTGGAGACAGTCCTTCTCACAGCACTTACAGGACTCGTGTGACTCCGGTGCAGCTGCATTCAAGGTTTCACCCGTTACGGAGCTGCTTAGGGGGGCAAAAGAATGCCAGGCCAGAATGAATAGTGACTTTAATGATTTTATCATAGGATAATTACTCTCATAGAGCAGTGTTAACAGTTCTTCACTTGGACATTTGACTAAAAAATAGCACGAGTACTTGGATTTGAATCTTCTCTACATGAAAGGAGAAGTAGCACAGTGCCTACAGATGATATATGGTGCTGGGCTATGTCCTGTGCATAGCTATGACTCAATGATCTATTCTTAGGGACTTCTACAGGTCGTTGGTAAAAGGAATACGCTTACATACAAATAAGCAGCTTCCAGCTCCCAAGCTTAGCAACACAGAATCACAGAATGGCCAGGGCTGGAAGGGTCCTCAAGGATCGTGAATCTTCAACCCCCCTGCCACAGGCAGGGCCACCAACCTCCCCATTTAATGCTAGACCAGGCTGCCCAGGGCCCCATCCAATCTGGCCTTGAACACCTCTAGGGATGGGGCATCCACTACTTCTCTGGGCAGCCTGTTCCAGCACCTCACCACTCTCTCTGTAAAGAATTTCCCCCTGACATCCAAACACACAGGTTATGCTTCCTTTTTCATGTATTTGATACTTGAATAATAACTTCTTTCTGCTTTGGGGAAAGGCAGAGAGTCCGCTTCCAAGTTTGTCTGGGGTTTACAGCAGACTGCCATGCATTTCATTGATTACACCAAGGCCACAGCAGAAAATCCTCAACAAAGAAGACTTTTAAAGGACTAGAGAAAACTACATGGAATTGGTCACTAGTAATTGTAGATCTGAGAGCAAGTCTGGAAAAAAGACTGACAAAGCAACTTCAAAGCAAGACATACAGGAGAAAGGTGAAAGGGTATTGAATGTATACAAGCATTCTGAGTCCATTATTGTCAAAGAAACAGCTTCACCCAGATCTGAATCTCTGTTACTCAAGTATTTGTTGTTCTTCAACATTTTTTTAAATAAAAACAAAACAGCAAACACAACCAAAACCCAGTCTACCCTGAGAAATGTTAAGAATACCTGTGGTTAAGGAAGAAGTGCAACTGTGATTATGTGACTGCCTTTAGACACTGCTTACAGCCACATTTGGACATCAAAATCCTAACATATAGTCAAGTACAACTCAGTATAGTCAGAACTCTCAGCACCATAAACAAAAGACTAAAAATAATCCCTGAATATGAATTCACCAGGTGAATTCTGAGCAGGAATAAAGAGACAGCAGTATCTTTGGCTTGGGCAGTGAAAAACTAAGGCAGCTTCAGATATCTGCAGTTTGTCACACCAGAAGTTCAAGAATGAAAAAAGAGAACATAATTAAAGAACTGGAATGCATGTCCCATAGCAAAGAATATTCAAATTCAGTCCTTTTTAATAGGGAGAAGTTACAGGGTGATCTGATCACAAACTACAAGTACCTATGCAAAAAATGGAATTTGACAATAGAGGGCTCTTAAATCCACATGACAAAGGAATACTAGGATCTGGGGGCCAGAAACTGAAGTTTGAGAAATTCACATTTTAAAATATTATGACTTATTTTTACATGAGGGTAATTTGCTGTTGAAATAAATTACTACAGGTTATGGTGTATTCTCAGCTACTGGCAAATTAAAAAAAGGAACTTGTTTTTTCTAAATAACATAGTGAGACAGAAAATTAATTTCTGTCTAAAGCAAATCAGTCTAGATTAATCATAATGGCTCTTTCTGCCCTCATAACCTATAAATCTTTGTGTTTTAATGAAATCAACAGATGTTTCACTGCAGTTTTCCAGGACAGATGAAATACGTCCTTG